ACTTGGCCACATGATCAAAGCACAAAAAAGCCTTCCCCAAATGATTTTCACTGCAATACATTTTTCCGGCGTTTACAGCCATAAAAAGTTTAGTGCGCTTAATCTTATTCCCATGGACGTTTAAGCAAGCTGGAACTTTAAGAAAAAACGTACAAAACAAGAAAAAAGTCGTACACAAAGTGTTGAAGAAATAGCCAAGTTTTTCAATGAACTTAACGTTTTTAATATTGCGCAAATGAATCACAGACGAAATTGAAATTTTCGACGACTACTCGACTAGTTTACTAGCGCGCTGGACAAGGTAATACAGCCGAAACGAGTTGAAATGAACTAAAACAAGCACAAGTGAGAGCTAAAGCAAAAACGACGGACTCACACCCGCATAATTGTGTAAAATTTTCTCATTCGAGCCATGATTTTTATGAAGTATTCTATTCTTTCGCGTTTCGTTCTTTTCATTTCGGAATATTTCATTTAGTTGAAAACTAGCACTAGATAATCGTGATTGAAGAGAATGGCATGCCCCCGATATATAAACAACCGACTGGAAAAAGAGCGTGAAAACAGTACGTGGTAAAACAGATGGAATATTGGGAATGGCCGTTCGTTTTTTTTTTCTTACGAAAAAAACTCCGCAAACTATTTACAATGCAAAGAATATGTTTGAAATAAGATGCCATCGGAATATTTAATGTAAAATTGGTGCGCAACACATTTGATTGCTGCATGCATCAATGGGATATCAATTGGACAAGCATCGATTCACACACACATATATATACCATTTCGTATGCTGTGTGCCGTCCTTCGACTAGCTTTTTGTAAAGAATCGAATTCATTGTGCGAAGAAATGGGGGAAAATTCAAAGTACAAAAACGAATCAATTGAAATTCTTGATCATTCGCAAAGCGATCATTAGTGTAATCGGAGAAGTGGGTAAAAAAGATGCGACCGTACACTTTTCCATTTAATTAAATAAATTCAAAAAAACTCATTTGATCCAAACATATTTCGCCAAAAAACCCATCAAATGCAAATTAGTTTTCGTGCGAATGCAAAAAAGACCACAGAGAGAGCGAGCGAGCGAGAGAGAGAGATAAGCAATAAATAGGTGAACGTCAAAGACCGCTCTTTGAGAAAATAGTTCAACTGTGGTTTCGAAAATTACGAATGCAATGAAGAGTCTCGAAAGAGTTGTGTATGTGTGATTGAGAATTGACACTTCTACTCGGTTTACGTATTTCTTCTTTTTTCGGAGCAACGGCGAATGGTTTTTCAAACGTCGAGTTTTGTGAAAATTTATTGTCGCAATGATGACTCTCTGAATTCCAATTCACTTCTTTCGCATCGTTGTGTTTGCTTTTGTTCTTCTTTTTGGTCCCAAAAATTATGTGCTGCATCGATGGGCCATCGAGCATAGGCGCCAATACAAGAAAGTTTGTACCCCTTTTATTTCGTTAGTTCTTTCTTTCGTTCTTCTTCCTTCGCCAATCGCAGTTTTATTCCATTTGCGACTATCGCTATCGCCTAAATAAACACATAAATTTTGCAATCAACGAGTTCTTTTAGCAATCAGTACACTACTTTGTGTCGACAAATGTTTTCAATCCATTTCCAATGGGTGGAGGTAAAATCAAAGAGCCAACAATCAAAAAGCGTCGAACTGGTTGCCGAAGCAAAGTGAATAGAAGAAGGGGAAAAAAATTGTCGAGAGTAAGCGAAAAATAAAACGAGAGAACGAAGCGAGAAGATGAAGCGAAAAAGTAAATAAAGTTTATTGGTGTGCTAGCGAACAAGTGGCGGATGGCGGTAAAACCAACAAGAGTAACTGGGGAGCAGGGAGGGCGATGGATAGAAAGAGAGCAAAAACTACGTAAATAAAGGGTGTTTCAACAAGAACGCACACAAGTATTGATAAATAGAACAAATAAATTTAATTTTTTTCCCGAAATCTTTACACAATATATAATAGTTTGGTCCTTGCCATTTATGTTTTAAACTGAGTATGGTGAAAAAAGTCTGTGTGGCACATTTTTGAGGCTATGTGATTTATACGCCAAATTTCACCCTATTTTTGCAAAAACAAGGTCATTAATGGTACAAAAAACGCACCAAATCTTGGTATAAATTGCTCAAAATGAAGCTACAGCAATCGTGATAGACGAATCACCCACAAAGTTGTCAAAAAATCGGCTAGATTTGAGAAAACATAAGATATATGGCCGAATTTATATTTTCAGCGCACAGAAATTTTGACCTTTTTCGAGTTTCGATCGTTTTCGAATGGTTTTTTTGCTACTTTTTAAAATATGTCACCCAGAAATCGTGTTGTACATATAGTCAGCACCCCTAGTCATTGCCATATCTGTCAAACCTGTCAAAGTCGGCGAAAATGGTCAAAAACGGCCAATTGGCTATAACTCAAAAACGGCGGGGAATTTTACTTTTATTCCTTTGGCCTATATTTGGATCTAGTCGAGAGGAAACGATTTCCCGAACTAGTCATGATATAAAAATCGAATTTTGACAGGCAGACAGCACGATTTTCAACATCATATATTGAAATTATTCGTTTGAATAATTAACTCATTTTTGAGTAGATATTCAAAGATTTTAGTGCGAAATTTTTTGGAATATCTCTTCATGACAAAAAAAAAATGGCAAACACTGGCCAAAAAATCTGATGTATCAGTTTGGCAGATCGGGGAAGCCTTCGGGGTTTACGGTAGGAATACTTTTGTGCGTTCTTGTTGAAACACCCTTTACATACAACGCTCACATGCACACGTTTGATATGTGCAAAAGAAAGTGGTAAGGTGACAACAGCACAGCAGGGAATCGGAATGCGAAAACGATAAGCAAATAAAACGCAGTGATGAAGAAAGCAATGAGACCGATTTAACATCCGTAAATATGTAAATCGTACGCGGCAGCAGCGGCAGAGCAGCAAAAGCACACGACGCATCGTAAAAAAGAGTAAAGCCCCGAGAATCCAAAACGGAAAAAAGGTGTGCGAAGCAATGTTTGATTTACGAGAGTTGTTGGCAATTTTTTTTTTATTTTCGCATCACTCTCTTTCACAATTGCGCCTTCTCTTCTCTTCTCAGTCTCTCTTATATTCGTTTTCTGGTTGCCGTTCGATTCTAGCACGCACCACGGAATACAAAGATCCTCTGCATGTGATACACGAATATTTAGTCGCATTTTATGTGTGCGTTTGTTTGTTGCTCGTGCTGCTGCTGCTGTTGCTTTTGCCGGATTTTGAGATCGAAAGAGATTTTCAACTTGCATGGGCCTAAGGGGTTATTTGATGAACGGAAACCAAAATGCCGTCGTCGGTTGAAGATGATACCAATACGCACAAACCGTATTGTTTTCCCTCTAATTTACATAAAAAATGCCGCACTACTCTACGTGCTCATAGTTTATCTTCTTCTTTCATGTGGAAGATGTGCGGCGAACAGCACTCAAACCATCACAATCTTTTCCCGGTGACTTTTCATTTGCTAGTTTTTGCCACTCAGCGAATACGTACATATCCACGAAAATGTGAAAGTTTTCCCTTCGCTTCGAGTTTAAAATTTTTATTTGCAAAACATATTGCTTGATTTTTGCTCATTATTTATCCAACCTCGACTGTAAAATGAATAAAGTCTTCCTGCAGCGCAGGCACACTCACATACACGTCGAATGAAGTACAACAACATTTCACTAATGCATGTTTGCAAGCGAGCAAACAAGCAACCAAACCCAACCAAAGATGCCTGTTTTCAAAAAGACGCCATCTATTTACACGAGAATCATGCAGGCAAATGGAAAAATACCGTTTTTTCTAGTCTGTTTGTTTGTTTGTCTTAAATAGGTGTAAACACTAACCATATCAAAACCAATGCCACAGATGCCTGGTAGTCGCTCACTAGGAACGAACCGAAAAAAATCGTGTCATCGTTTATTTTTGACACTTTTTTTCCTAATGCAGAAAAAAAAAACGAGTTCAGAAAAAATTGCAAACAATTCAACATCGCTTAACCTATTTATTTTATTAGATGTTTCGTTTTTACGTGACCACGTCATTCCTCGTTTCGTTTGCATGCTTATGTATTTTGTGTATCGTTTCGGAATTTGCGTGAAAGAGACAGGGAAGGAAAGAACGAAACTAGCAGTGCAGCCAAAGAGAAAGGAGTTGAGGATAAGTAGTGAGAGGAAAAGAGAAAAGAGCAATGGAAAAACAACGAAAGAGTGAGAATATGAATGAGAGCGAATCCCTGAGAAAAAAGGAGAGAGAGAGAGAGCAACTGTTTGTTGTTGATCTTTTGTCATTCATTATTATGCCGGAATCCCGTTCACTATGACGTTGAAATATATTGCGGTTTCACGAACAACACGTGAAATAGAACTTTCACGGAGTTTCGAAAATAGTTGAATGTTGAATTAAAATGATGCATATCACTTCGCGTGTTTTGTCTGACTACAAAAAATGGCAACAATGTGAAAACACTCGGGCGAAAAGTATTTTGGGCCAACGAAACCAAAAACAGAAAAAAAAAACGAACCAGAGAAAATGCGCCCATCTTAAATGGTTTGAGCGAAGAAAAATGAATAAAACGATGTGTGTGTGTGTGTGTGGTTTGTGTTGTCATGAAAAACTTGATGAATTTCAAGTAGCTTAAGCTCGAAAAACTCTTGTAATGTATTAAATTAGACAGCGCACTGGAAAAAGCATACTGATTCCCAAAATGCCGCGGAAGCTCCAACACACACGCGCTCGAAAAAAAAACTGTTTGGTTTTCGCAATGACGATTTTCATTCTAGTTTTAATTTTCCGTGTCACTTTTAAGCAGCATACCGAAAATTGCTGCATTATGTGCACATGAACAAAGACTAGAGAAAGTAGTGTTCTTTCAAAGAAAGAAACAAAAATTAAAATAATAGAAGAATTAAGAAAGAAAAGTTTATAGTACTTTGTTTTTAATAATAGTGATTTTTCTGTTTCGTTGCAGGTGATTCACAAATAAAGTGTGCGGTGAAGATCTGGTGAGCGTTCGAAGTTTTATGACAAAAACTACCGAGAAATATACTGGAGAACAAACCGCAAAACGTGGTGAAACACATCAAAATCAAGCACCGACCACATTGTATAGCCTGTAACAATAACAACAATATCAAGCGAACTGCTACCTTTTCGAGAGAGATTTCCACACCTCATTCGAATCACAATCGTAAACCTGACCAAAACCAACCGAACAAAGACGCCAAGAGAAGCAAGCAAGCAAGAAATAAACAAACAAAAATAAAACCGAACCCGAGACAATAAAAAGGCGTCATTTATATCATTTGGTGTGACAAAAGGCAGACACGGCGATAAACCGGGCACAATATCATACCGCATACTGCAGTAAAACAATATCACTATAGTTGTTTTTTTCTCGATATTAAAACGCACACATCCATCTGTGTGGCTGAGAGCGCACGCTGCCATCATCACCGTCATCATTGCTGCCACCGAATGCGCATTTGAGAGTCGAATGCGTTCACTTTTCGTTTTTATTAGTCGCAATCCGATCTGCGTTCCGTTCTACATTTTTTTTGTGGGGGTTTTCTTAGTTTAACTGTTTAACGATACATCGGAAAGCGGACAAAGCTGCTGGTGCTTCATTTTCAACTGTTTATGTTCTTATCGCAATTCTCATTCACCGTCTCACCATCCGGAATCGTACTGATATGCGATGATAAATCGTTGTCGCAAGACCGCAATTTTCGTGTGCCAAACCAACGACCATAAATATCATTTCGGATTACGGAAAATAACGATGAAAACACACCGAAATTGAAAACCGAAACCCACAAACACACAACGCGCAAGAACGTTACTGGACATAAAATAGACAAGGATTGAAAAGCAGCACGGATAACATATACATAAACGAGAAAACAACAAGCCCAAAAGACCAAAAAAAAAAACAATATAAATATATATAAAATAGAATAAAAAAAGTAAAAGCGACACACTGCCTTTCCACCGGATAAAAAACAGCAAACAAAAACAAACAAATATAAATATATAAAACGTAGGAACCTGTATACACAAAAACGGCCAAAAAATGTTATTGCGTAATGTGATTGCACGTAATTTGCTAGTGATCTGCATCATTTGCATACAACGATCGGTGCTGGGGTTTTGTCCGGCGAAATGCACGTGCAATGGTGATCATAATTTACGCGTATCCTGCATCAATATTAGCTTGGCCGATGTACCAATTCAACTGAATCCGGAAGCGAAATACATTAATTTAACGATTAACCAGATTGCAAAATTGAATTATGCCCTACAATTCTATACACAAGTGGAAGTGCTTGATTTATCACGAAATCGTATCACTGAATTGGGTGCGAAAAATTTCGACGGTTTGAATCAGTTGCGTACACTGAATTTGAGTCGAAATGCACTGGAACATTTGCATAAAGATGCATTTTATGGCCTAAAAGGTCTGCTATTGCTAGATTTAAGCCACAATAAAATCACACAAGTTCATCCCGCTGCCATGACACATCTGTTCAAAATGATCGACATGGATTTTTCCAACAATGCCGTCATCAGCTTTGACGATGGTGTTTTCAAAAATTTAACATCATTGGAACGTTTGTCGCTGGAGAATAATGAATTGGTGGATGTGCCAGTGGAAAATTTTGTGCATTTATGTAGTTTGAAATCGCTGGATTTGTCAGGGAATTTAATAGAATTTATAAGGAACGACAGTTTTGCCCAACTAAAGGAGTTGACCACATTTAAAATTGTCGGCAATGTCATCAATGATGTTGATGTTCGAGCTTTTGATGGGTTACCCAATCTGAGATATTTAGATTTAGGCGACAATAATCTAACGGTAAGTACCTAATTACACACAATTTACCGATTAAACAACAAACGGAATATTTATCGATTATAAACACTTTGCTGGAATTGGATGTTTTCATTCGAAATATATGGCTTCGAAATATTGGAATTTCGCAAATGGCTTTGAAATGACACCCGAATTGCGCAGTCGGACGCATCGATAATTCCACACGATTTGTGGTGTTCAGTCAAAGTTAAATGGTGGTGCCGTTTACCATTTAATCTCATTAAGCTTTGATTAAAGAATCGTTTGCCATCAAGTGTGCCAGCTAATTTTCGAATGAATTCAAATAAGTTCATCGAAATTTGATCAAGACGACACAAGGGGCACACGGCAAACGACAAAACCTCATTCGATATGTCGACTAATACATAATTCGTTTGGATTACTGTTTCATTACTTTCGTGCTTCACCACGTCTAGACGCCCAGTTTCACGTTCAAACTTGTGGTTGATTTTCTTCTTCTTCTTCTTCTTTTTCTTTTTCCTCACATTTGGAGTATGATTTCAAGCAACGTGCCCAGGCAAACTTCTCAACACCTATAGATCTTGGCGACAGAAAAAGCTAACCCACATTCAAGCTTGAAATTGTTTTCGGTTTTTTTTCGTCTATTTTTTTTTTTGTTTGGTCGTTTATTTGGTTCTCCGAAGCCCGCATTTTTTGATTCGTGTTTGATTAATCTGCACTTATAAACACATCAAATGTGTACGCGTCGCACACAAAACTTTATTGGGCCATTATTAGTTCATTTTCGAGTTCGATTTAATGGCAATTTGGCTTTATTTGCGGTGTGTGTGCGTCCACACAAAAGTTCTAATCCAACCGAGAAACCGAACCGAACAAAAAATTATAACAAATTATTTGTGACACAAAATTCGGCAGCAATGAATTTTTAATAACACAAGGGAAACGAAACGTTATCTATGGTTATACATTACATGGATTTTTGCTTATGGTCGGTGGCGAATACCGAGAATGTTACAACGGAAAAGCGCACATAAATGTCTCTGATTGAATATGTGTGCGTGAGCGTGTGACAAAGTTCAAAAAATCATTTATAATATCAAGTTCAATAATGCCCAAGATCATAAAAGTTTTATTTACCAGCAATAATGACATGCTTCACTTGCGATTTTTTTTCCATTCTTTTTATTCTTTGTTGGTTGGTGTCGCGTACATCGCTTCTGCTGTTTTCTTCCAACTTTCCACTTCTACATATATTTTTCGCCAATATTTTTTTTCGTCGTCTTTTTCTGTTTCGTCAATATCGTCGACGATGTAAAAAAAATTGATAAAAAGCAGCAGGGAAATTTAGTCCCAGTAAGCCAACTGAACCAAACAAGAAGGCGATAGAGAGAGACAGAGAGAAAATCGTGACGAAAATACGCATAATAAAATGTGAAATGTGTCGACTGATGTTGTACTTAATTTATGTATAACATACACAATAAATCCACTAGTCGCGTTTGCGTTTCTTCTCTCTTCACTGCAGTCCTCTTTGTCACATCGAACTTAATTCGAAAGATTACGAGCTCTTGACGAGCAACTGCCACACAGCCAAAAAAGACGAAAATTCAACACAACAAGCCCAATCGCGCGCCACTTGTACGATGATGATGATTTTATTTCTTCTGATCGCTCTCCGACCGATAAATATCTCTCGTGCAATGTGATTTTTGTATGTACGGCATATTTGAGTACAGTGAACACGCAAATTTGTGTTCGATTATTGCTTATCTCTCGTTATGAAGTCAAACATTCCCGCTTCTTTTTCCTTATTCTCTCCTCTCATATGGATTTTCTATTCAAAAGAATTGAAATGGTAGAACGAACACATGACAGCCACAATGGTGTTGGGTAGAGGGGGCTGTGCGTGTGCATTCACACGTACTCGTATCATAATAACTCAAATTTTACGCATTTGACTACGATTACGAATGACACATTAAATATCAGAGACGCATTTTTCCCAGAAACCGTCTGCTGGTGCTCGTATTAGAGGGAAAAATACGCCAATATATTCAACGCAATCAAATGGAAGAACGTATTTTCAATACATTTTTTTCTTGATATACACAAATCTTTCGATTGCATGCAAATGGAACGAACGAACGCGATATCATGATTTAAACAACACTCAAGCATTTTATTTGTGTTATGACAACTCAGGCATAAAATTTCTTTACATTTTCTTCCCTTTCGGAGCATCACTTCCGAATTGATGTGAAACTTTGAGATTGCAGTTTCATTTGATATACCATAATTGGATTGATTGCACGGAAATCTTAATAGGCACTTTTCGAACTAAAAATATGTCTCTTATCCATTGAGAAAGTATGGATTTTTCGATTTGGTTGTTAATTTCATTAGACTATTTTCTATTTCACATATTGAATCGTATTTGCTTAATGAAAAACCGTGAAATGAAAAAATGTGAAAATTCATAAATTCGAAAGTTTTCCTCCCAAAAAATATTAATAGTGCTACAGTGATGTGGCTGAATGGTTGCGCTCGGATGTGGAATGAGTAGTTAGCATGAGGGCAGAATATGCGTCGCATAAATATCTGTGCGTTTTTCATGCGACGGAAATGAATGTTTTTAATGCCCTCTTAATTCCGAAAACTGAGCTCGTTCCAATCTGTTGTTGCTTCGGCAACATGGTGCTCTTTCCTCTCAACAGTTTATTTTTTGTCAAATATTTTTCGTCTTGTGTGAATGTTGTCGGATTTTTGCATTTTGATTGTGCCCTTTTCGATCATTTCAACAAGCTCTCTCCCACTTTCCGGCACAAACGAAACGTTTTTAATTACAGGTGTCATGAAAATGGCTAAAATGCAAAAGAATGTGTTATATTTGCCGGGTTTGATAAATCGAGAGTGAGAGTGAGATCGAGTTAGAGGGTTTGGGCTAGGTGGGAGCAAGCGGGAGAGAGAAAAATGGAATAAATTGACAGGAAGTTAATCCTCCTCCTTTCAGTCGCATTACGAATACACATAATGATATTAAGCAGCTGTTCACACACACATATTCACCAGCCATCTGCTGAACAAACCGTTGTCATTGAGAGCAATTTCACATTTTCATGGTTGTTTACTCAATCTGTGTGCTTTTGTTTATAACTTTTGCCGGCACCATTTTTTTCGCTTTCTCATTTTCTCACTCACTCTGAACTCATTGAATGAATTCAAATAGCTATGGCACGGCCAAAAAGTGAAAAGCATTTAAATGCGTTCGAGTGTATGGAATGGCTTGGGGGATAGAAAATTTTCCGCTATGCTGCGCGAGTGAGATCAAATCTATAAATTAAATTTGCACCAACGAATAATATCGTCACAAATTCAAAAATATTTGCAGCAACGCCAAAATCTGTATATGCTGTGGCTTATTTTTTGTTTGTTTATACCTCTTTATCTTTTCGAAACAATTAATCCAGTGGCAGAAAAAAGAGTGAGGCAGCGCCCAGAGCTGCTACACAGAAACAACGCAAAATGGGATACCGCTAGCGAACCAAACAGCGAACACACAACAGTCTGTGCTCGATGAAAGGAACAAGTGCAAGAGTATTTCATGCACAATAATTATGGTTTTCGTTAAGGGATTTCGTAGGCATGAACGTTATGTTCATTGAGGATAATTTAAGTTGATTTTGTAACTAAATACCATACCAAAATGATGAGCTCCGGATAAGACCTCTTCCTTGAAAAAAATATCGCCGTAATTTTCCAAGCGTGCATTTCAAAATGGTTTCTTTCAAAACAATGTTTAAGATTTCAACAGCAGAAAAATCGCCAGCAGCCTGATTCCGGTTGACTGAACTCATTTAATTATGCCAAAAACAATTGGCGACATCTCATTCCCAGTCTTCCTAGTTACAAAGAGCAGGAAATATCAGGAGAAAATTAAAATAACGGTAATTTCCAAAAATTGCTTGCAATGATGATTTGTTGTTGGATGATCTGAAATTTTGAGTGTTTTTTTTTTGGATTATCTCAACGATTTCATGGCATGGATATCCACCCGGGTGAACGCGATACGCTTTGATGAAAGCCTACAGTCGTTCGATGAGGCTTTCATAATTTTTATATACATTTTAAATACTGAACGCCTAGGCTTTCAATGCTACGAATGCACGAAAGAAGTGAGAATAGCAATGAAAGCCTAGGCGTTCAGTATTTAAAATGTATATAAAAATTATGAAAGCCTCATCGAACGACTGTAGACTTTCATCAAAGCGTATCGCGTTCACCCGGGCATACTTCTGCCACACAGCAAACATTTGTTGCCACACACAATTTTAATGAAATGAACTGGAATCGAAATTGATGAAAATTATGGTTTTTATCTCGAATCGACGACTTTGGAGAGTTTGTGCCAATGAGCACAGTGGTCTGAGCGCATAGCTTTCGTTTGTTGTCCATAGATCTGTGGTAGTTAGCTGTCGAACCACACTTTTGCTTCGAAAACTTCTTGATGTTTCATGTAACCATGGCTTGTGCAATAGGTACGGTAAATTGAAGACGTTGCACAACTTGAAAATGTGCTCAACGACATTTCGACCGAAAAAAAAACTTTACTATGATAATGATGATAGTGGTGCGAGAAAGAAAACGATGGAAAAGATTTTTCCTCATTTCATCGAATGACGTTTCTTAAAATGCAAGCCTTTTATACAGAGAAGAAAAAATGTGAAAAAAGAACACGCATATGCAAAAGAGACGAAATGGCCTGAAGAAATGTGTAACTTTGCATAAGTACATTTATTTGAAATGAGAGGAAACCGTAAACGAAGTGTAAAGTAAAGAAAAAAGTCAAAGCGTAGACAACTTTTTCTTATATATGTCTCGATGGCTCGAGACCAAAGCGACCATTCGTTCGTTCATACCATCTTCGAGCCGGTCGCTTTTCATCTCAGCACTTTTTGTATTTGTTGCCATTTCTTCTTTTCAATTCCTCCTCTCTCTCTCTCTCTCTCTCTCTCGCTTTCTCTCCATTTATCTATTTTGCTGTTTTTCTCCTCGTCGTCATCGTCCGTTCCCTATTGTTGTTACCCATGTTATCCGCAATGCGAACAACAATGCATGTCATTATGTTCGGTATCACAATTCAGACCAGTTCGTTTGCTAACACTCGTATATCTCATAATTGACATTCTCAAAATCAAGCAAAACTCACACACTAGCTCCTTGTGGCTCGCGCACATTCGCGCAGGAAACTTCACCGTACCGTGCACTTCATAAAAATGTAATATCATCCGTCCGAATCTTGATCGGGTGTTGTTTCGCTTCCATACCGCTCACGATTTTGACAAATAAAAATCAAAAGAGGAAGATGGTAAAAATTCAGTTGCATAAAAAGTGATAACTAAAGAGTTTTGCACATTGCATTTACGGTCGCATCAAATTACGTTTTTGTACTAATGAATTTGTTCGTTAGGTTTTCTGATAACGAAAAAAAAATGTTTCACATAAATTACAAATGCACCTTTTTTCGATTTATTTGAAGTTCTTTTTGTTGTGTCAAAGTGATTTGCGCGAACTTTGGTTTTGAAGCTATGAATTTTGATTCTTCGCAAGAATTACAATTCGTGAATCGCAATTTTCATGAGAGAATATTATGATAAATAAACCAAATTGGACCGGCATTGATAATAAGGACTTGAATGTAAACATCGAAAAAGCCAAGTTGATGATTTTGCATAAGCCTATTTGTATGATGACACGCTTTAAGGCATCCGAAATCAATTAGCCTCGGTATCATCAATGCTAAACGGCTTTATTATTAAGTATTTCCTAAGCGCATCAAACTAATTGTGTTGCGTTCGCTCGCCCACTCATTTACGCTCTCATATTCATTTGTGGTTTCAGCAATCAAGTCACTCGGTCACACATTCAACGCAGACACACATACACACAACATCGACTGCGTCTCGAGCGCACATGACAACCGAACAATTTCAACTCGTTACAATAGTATAAAACTAGTCATTTACTGTGATGAAAATAAATCTAATTATTTCGTTGAATCCATAGATTTATAGATGCTGCCGTCTCTGCTTTCGCACTTGAATGGGAAATTATTATTTATATTCGCAAATGTGCTGCTGCTGCTGCTTCGTTGCCATGCTCATATATATATTCTCGACAGCATTTGCACATGATATACAAGATGGTCTTTCAACATAAATGTCACTCCATTTTCTCTCTCCCTCTTCCATTCTTCTCCACGCTCTCACTCTCAGTCAAATGCTTATTTTGCTTCAACGAAATTAATATTCGCCCATTATTATCTGAAAATCATGCGTTTATTCAGTCGCAAGACTCACCATGCCTATTCGAGAAAATGCCAACATTGATGATGTTATTACTAAGATACACGACAAGTTACACAAATAATTACATAAATAATCCCCGTGCTCCAATTATTTCGTTCGAGTCATTTTTCGAAATGCCTTTCAAAATTTCGTTTAATATATAATTTGTGTACGTTTGTGTGGGCGTTGAATAGTCGTTGCGATAAGAGTTTTGGCAAGTGTAAAATGAAGTATGTTCGATTTGTATTTTTTTAAATTGTTTTCTGTTGATTCCGTCTGTGTTAAAAGACAGTATGTTGCCATGCCAAAAGTTGTGGCGGTTTTTCGCTTTTCAACTTTCGCGGAACTGATAAGAGATAATGACTTAATATCTTCAGTAAAATTATAGTATTCGAGGTCCTTTATAACTCTGCTGCAGGCAGTACTCTTATTTGAATAGTTTGGAGCGAAAATGTAATACAGAAAAGTTGAGCGGAAAAATATCAAATGGAAAGGGATAGCTATATAGTTTGCTATACAGTGTACTATATAGCTATCCCTTTTCCGCTCATTCATCATCGACATTTTTCCGCTCAACTTTTCTGCATTACATTTTCGCTCCAAACCATTTATTTCTTATCAGTTGTCCAAAAATCGCGACAACTGGTGGGAAAAATGACCAATCAACATCATTAGTTACAACGAAACATACTTTCCTTTATTGCTATGATAACAACCCTACGTTGTTTTACATCTCATCAATAGATATGTGAGTGTGAGTGAGGAAAGTGCTAGTGACGTGTTCGGGGATGTCTTAAATATTTGATTTGTGCTTGAATAGATTTTGATGCTTTCGACCAACGGACATTCAACTACTCAATGAAGCAGCGGACTTGTCGGCACACTCGTGGATTTAGCATTTCACTTGCTTTGGCGATTCGTGAGTTGCTGAAGCATCATATATGCAGTGCACTCGATATTTAACGTGAAAACCTATATTCGATACATCGAAGTTGGCCGAGGTATGATTTCGTTTGCGCGTAGCGCGTAAGCAATTCACTTGCGATATATAGTAAATAGGGATTCACGTTATATCGCAAGTGAATTGCTTACGCGCTACGCGCAAACGAAATCATACCTCGGCCAACTTCGATGTATCGAATATAGGTTTTCACGTTAAATATCGAGTGCACTGCATATATGATGCTTCGGCAACTCACGAATCGCCAAAGCAAGTGAAATGCTGAATCCACGAGTATGCCGACAAGTCCGCTGCTTCATTGAGTACCATTAATTTTCCCCTTTCGTATGGACCACCATTATCAATCTTCCAATCAATTTTGAATTTGAATTAATCGAAAACATAATTTTGTTTGTGAAGCTCGACTCCTCCGTTCTCATTTATCGTCGAATGACTGCACATTTATACTGAATGATGCACGATAATATTTTATTAGAGCCATACATTATTCAAATTTTACAATGGGCATTTGTTACATCTATCAATCGAATTTTGTACATTTTTATTTGGTTCTTATAAACAAATGTTTCATAATATACAAAATGAACTGTTTTTAAAATTTGATGTCATTTCAAACCATTTACTATTTACTGCTATATATTGTTTTTTCTCGAATATTCTGAATCAAAATCGTTTCAGAAAACTTGATTTGTTTTTATCAATTTTGCGTTTTTTTTTTTTTTTTTTCAGATTGTGCCAACACAACAATTAAGTCGATTATCAAATTTATCGTATTTATCGATGAGTGGCAATAGTTTTACGTCCATACCACCGGTAGCTCTATTAAATCTGTTCCATTTACGCGAGCTGCATCTGGATAAATTGGATCGGCTGCTGAAAATTGATTCGAGGTAAGTTAAATCCATGTGACGCGTTTTTTTTTTAAATATTCATTAAGTCGATCGAAAACGTCGATGAGTTGACTGCGTATATGACACCGCATATCCTTAATTAAATCACTTGGACGTGAGGAAGAAAGCAATGAAATCACCATAAAAGTCAGACTTATTCGCATAAAATAAAGCAAAACCATATGAAGAAGCCTTTTTCTATACGAAATTTCAATGTGTAATTGCACTGCTTGGTTAGTCGCTAATTGATACGAGCGGTTTGGTGAACAGAGTATTATAAAGAGGCAGACGATTCGTCTCCTCTTGGAAGCAATGCCACAAAATCACAAGTGAGAATGAAAATGGTGGGTAAAAAATACAACAGCAAATTCATTTCAATGAAGGCGCCGAGTGAAGGAGCCTTCTGTTCACAGTGGCTGTTATTTAAGCCAACAATCATGTTGCTCCACATGCAGAATAATGCGGAAAATTGAGTTTGATGAAATTTTTTTCCATTAATTTTGGTTATCCAACTGTGTGAACACTCGGTTGGGGTGCGTGGCAATGGCGACGGCAGCAGAAGCAGCGTCAAAACACTATGTGTTTGTGTGTGATGAAATTCAAATAAATCAAAATACGAAATATTATGTGTACTCCATCAGGATTCACATCAAACAATTATTCCCTTGCCAGTTTAGGTTGACACACAACCAGAAAGCGAGTGAGCGCATTCATTTTTAATTGTACTTCGTTTCATTATTATTATTATTACTATCGCTGTCGTCAACTTTGCCATTACCATACTGTTGATAGCTGTTGCTGCTGCTGTTTGCTACCCATGGAATTTACAGTGTATTTGCAGACAACAAGTCTGTTCTGAAATTATTCATAATTTCTGTAGTTAATATGGAAAAATATGTAATTCATGTCACATAGATGTCGTCGTGCTTATTTCATTCGTTATTTAAACTCTGAACCACAACACCTTTCTCCTATTTCACTGGATTCGCATCTTGATGCTCTTATTTTCTCTATAATGATGATTGCAATAATAATAATCATAGCTCTTATAATTAATAATGTAGCCTAACGTATGTGAGAGGGCATCTGTGATATTCATGTGTGATGGTCGAAGCAAGAGCCACATGACTCTCATGTGTAAAGTCAATTTGCACTCAAATATAGGCCTTTTTGTCAACTTTAACGGAATAACGGAATAGAAGTGTCTGATTTTGGCCAAAGGCCGAACATTTCACTCACAAAAATATTCATAGATCTTTTCTCTCTCTCTCTCTCTCTCTTTGTAAATGCTCAAAATGTTACTTCAATTGACGTTAAATGTACATCCCCTGCGTGACAAGTGCCTCAAAAAGTAAAACACTCCTTTGACTTGAAACTACACTTTAATGAGTTTTACTCTCGTTTTTTGTTGTGCACAATGTCAATAAAAAACGAAATCCCATTCTGGCAAGAGAGTCGTTTTTTTCCTTTCATCCGCTCGATTTTCTATCGCAGATTCTATGAGATGAAAAGTGAGGTTTTCTGCTATGGTATTTGTCTTGATATATGTCTCAAGTGATGATTCAACAGACAGAAACACACCATGGCTGCCAAAGGAATATTGCAAGTGTGTGGTGGAATGAAACAATATTTAGCCTTGCGGCGGCAGATCTTGCAGACATCACGTTGATTTGTGTGTACAAACGAGTTCTCATTGCAAATACACACACATACACATGCTAAAATTTGTCATTTTGAATAATATACATTCGACGCGCCAAACGCCTCGCAAATCAACGAATATGCAATGCAAATTTTTCGGTTAGTACATTTGTTGATTTTACAAATTTACGAAACATTTTACACCGAGCATAAGAAATAAAATCTGACGCCGATTTCCTGACTTTCTCTCTCTCTCCCTCCCTCTATCTCTCTCACTCTTTTTCGCTCCGATCTTGTGACTGTTTTGCTTGAACCGTCGAAAGGATTTGGCTTGTGAATTTTCATCATTTATATCACATCTTTGAATCATATTTGCCGTTGATTCGCTTAATGTGAATCTTTCTGAGTATGTGAGTATGTGACAAAGTTGCGTATGTGCATGGGCGAAAAGCAATTTCTGCGGATCGTCGCACAAACACGAAAAGCAAATCGTAAATGCAACGCTGGGAAAAGATGGGTTTTTAGTTAAAATTCATTTGGCACATGACGCATATGCTACACAATTACAAATGCCAGCGCTCGTTCGCTTGCTTTCTCTTTATTTCGGGACCAACGTTGTCGTCTCTTGTGTACTCAAGAGCTTCAGGCGCATTCAACCGTTTTTTTTTTGGGGGGGGGGAAACGTTATTTACTGTTTATTGTGTACGCTTTTTTCTCCTTCTTCTGTTCCATCTTTGTTTTTCCTTTAGCCGAAACACACAAACACACACACACACACACACATCCAACAGTCTCGCCTAGACACAACCTATTCACAATAATATGTGTGCATAATTATTTCCAGTTGATGTAAAATGAGAAAGAGTGAGAGCTCAAAGCTTTGTTTGTGACTTTTCACTGAAATCACAGAGCGAACAACAAAATCGGCAGAAAAAAAAAGTAGTCCGTAGCGACGGAAAAACACATGCAAACAAACGAGATGAACAGAGAAAAATTAATGAAAACGATCTGGCTGCACACACAAAACATGCTCAACAACAAGCAGAAACATCATTAAAATAATTAATTCGTTTGTTTATTTATACAAATTTCGAATAGATTCATTTAATATTTTACTGCGTTGATGTCGCTTCTGTGCGCACTCTCCATATCTCATTCTCCAACCCTCTGTGTATGTTTGTTGCTAATGTCGCCCTCCCATTTTCGACAAGCGACAGTTGAACTGCATTCCACACATATGATTCGCATGTACACACAAATCTCCGAAACATTTTGAATTTATCTTGCCTTATCTCACTTTCGTATCGAGTTACTTTTGCCAAATTGAAGCTTTGATTGAACACACACACACACACACACACGGAATTCAAATTCGGCGGCTCTATTGTATTACATTGGCACCAGATGCTCACCACCAAATTAAAAATGGATTAATTTTTACATCAAAACGCTAATGACTCGACTATGTGTTCAGTGTTAACAGATGATTTGCCATCAAGAGCGGAGCAACATTTGGATTTTAGGACCATTCTGTCGAAAGGAACGGCTTCAAAATTATTCTCTTTAAAGCCATTCTCTTTAAATTCCTAATTTGTGCCATCTTTTGAGGTAAAGTGTCATGAATAGGGATGCTAGTTTCTTCAAAAATTTCTCTATCTCCTTCGCTCTCTAACCTCTCTGAAATACTCATTTTCAAATTTTCATCCCCAAATCTACAAATGTTATATTAATTACTCATGTCCCTCTGTTTCATCATCATGACGTGTGCAGTGTACACTGTACAGACCTTCTTATGTTCTTGTTCAAAAAAAGCGGCAAATTGTTTCTTGGTCGAAAGATGTTAACTGAATCATTGTTGTTATTAATTGATAGATGCAAGAAGTGACCTGTTCATAAATTCAATAAGAAAAATGTTCTCGTGCTGTCCCGCACTTTGCGCCATACACATCTAATAATAAACATCTAACAGCGGAAAAGAACTTTTACTTTCACCCAGTTTCACTTTCGTATGAGATAAAAGTTTCATCGTGAGTTCAACATCAAATTTCCGGTTCAAGCTCCGCTAGGAATATGCTTCCGATTAAAATTCGTAACTTTAATGGTTTCCGCGCAGAATGAAAGCACAAAACAGATTCGACATAACGATTTCATTCGGAAAACATTGAACACAATTCGTGAGTAGTTCATATTCAATCGGATTCGAAATAGCGTATAATTCGAGAAATGCGAAAATATAAAGCGAAATGTCATAAATAATGGCTGCTTATTCGAATGAATTGTACGAGACGCATTTTCGGAGGTTTCAACAACCATTTTGATTACAAAACAATTGCTATTTCATTGTAATGTCCAAAATTAGCTGTTTTCAAATGGGGCAAGTCGTTTATTGTCACATATCATATTTGTAAAAAGCTAACTGATCTCTCAACTAATAGTACCGATTCGATGTCAGTCGCTTTATTTCATGTGTTTCCGACTTTATTACGGAAACGATTTTGTTCGATAGCAAGCAGGGCGTCGCCTTGCCCTCCCTGACACATCTGTCTATTTTTCTCGAAGCAACGGAATCAAAAATGCTTTTATTCATGCGATTGTTTCTCTCTGTGTTCGACAACTTTTTCCTTTGAACTTTTTCGCTGGCGCTGGCTGGAAAAAGTACTTGCAAAAGAAAGTTTTTTGACGCACTAATGGGCACATTACTTTATATTCGGGAATCTATTGAAAATCTCTAAGCGGCATCAGAAGATCTGAATGTTCCCGTTTGATCTTGTCTCTGCAATTGTAAGACTTATCATAAACTCCCGCAAGGGAAACAATCATGGTGCAAAACTTTGTTGATCGAAACTTTGTGTGTGTGTGTGTGTGTGGAAGGAAAAAAAAATATCAATTGCCATCTCAGCAAGAATGTTTATTGGTTTGGGCTATATTTAATTTGTACTCATGTTAACGTTTACCAGCCCAATAACTAATATAAACGTCATCATCCGCTGATGCAATCACTTGGAACAATGTATTTTTGTTGATTTTCATTTTACCGCGAAATTTTATATGCGTTGCAATTAAAAAGAAATATGCCGAACGTCACGAATTCAATTTGCCATAAAACAAAAATGTGCTTGCTGATTGCAAGCATCATAAACAGTCTTATTGCGTACAATGATGACAAAAAAGCAAGAGAGATAGAAAGCATGAGACAGAGTACTGATGAAAAGGAAAGAAAAAGAGGAAAAGTGAAAGTGCAACAGTCACCTCGAGAATTGCCACCAACCAATAACTTGAATGTGAAAAAGACGGTAAAATTGGCGTGATACAACAATAACAGAGAGAGAGAGAGAGAGAGAGTGGGGGGAGAGAGAGAG